GAGATCATGAGCCCTTCAAATAACGGGATGGAGGACTGGAGTGATGCTCAGAGGATAAGAGCACTGGCTGCTCTCGCAGAGGACCTGGGTTTGGTTCCCAGCACCCACATGGTGGCTAACAACTGTCCGTAACTCCAGTTCCAGGGGATCCGACACCCTCTTCTGACTTGTGTAGGCATTGCACAACACAATTGCACTTACACACATTTCAGGCAATACACTCAACACACATGAAAAACTAAAATAAATAAATAAATTTTAAAAACAGGATGGACATGATGTTCATGCACCCATGGTAAGCCAGCCAGCTTCTCTGCCTCAGAATCTTTATCTGGAAGACGGTGATGGCAGCCATCCACAGCACCTGGAAGGTGACAGACTGAGGGGAGTTCTTTGCAGTACTGGAGTCTTTGCTGCACTCTGAAAAGTGGAGTGCCTCTGTGGTGTTGTCAGTGTGAGGTTCAGAGCAGTGTGCACAGACATACAGAAACCCTCACTGGTCAGGCAGGTGAGGTGACCCTGTGCATTCCAGATATTGAATGGGAAAGTGGGGTGGGGGCATGTTCTCCTGCAAAATGGCCACCTGCAGTTTCTTTAAAAGCACTGGCTGTTCTCAAGAAAACACACTTGCAGGCTGCAGCCATCCCTAGAGTCCAGAATCCTATAGAGTTTGCAGGGAAGTGAATCTGGCCATCTAGGGACTCTTCCATGGCTTCCCAGGTGGCAGCTGACCTGTGGGGCTCAGGCACATAAAGGAGTCAGTAGCTTTGACGGTGGGTCCACGTGCCCCAGTCTTGAGCACAGGTGTGAACTGGAAGGAAAGACAGGGCTTACCATATGTAAGTCCTGTGCCTTCTGCACCTGGAGCACGGCCTCACTGATCCTAGCTGCATTAGTTATTTTTCTGTTGCTATGATAAAACACCATGACTGAGGCCACTTATAGAAGAAAACAGTTTATCTGGGCTTAGGGCTCCAGAGGGATAAGGGTCCATCATGGCAGGGAGGCTATGGCATCATGTAGGCAGGGTGGCTGGAGCAGGAAGCTGAGAGTTCATATATATATGTTTTAAATATTTTTTAGTCTTTGTGAAATTAATACCACATATTCTTATTATATTTCATCCTCCCTCAAG